ATATATTATATTATAATATAATATAAATATAAATTGACTTAATCTTTAGCGACTTAATTATCAAATTATTACTACTTTATTTACTAAAATATCTGTTTACTTATCACTCAGTTTATTAATGATAAATTAGCGATGTTTTGCTGCAAAGTAATTCTAATAGTTATTTTCAGCTGCAGTTGATTTCATCTTCATTTTGTTATATTTCACAGCAATGCATTTTTGAAAACGTTTACTTTAAGAATAAAATACAATTATTATAATAATTGCGAATAAATCTAAAACTGTTCGGGACTGCTTTTTAAGCATTTTAATGTAGTATATATATTGATGATTGTAATTTGTATAAATTTTATCTTTGCTTATTTTTTTTTGTAATTAATATTTAATCATTTTAGTCTAATTAATTTTATCATTAGGTTAGGTGATAATCAAATCAATTTATAAACTTTTTTCAAAGCATTTTTTTGCTAATTTATAATTGCTATAAAATTTAAAAGGTTTATTTCAGTTCTTTTTTGCACTATTTCAAAAATTTCTCTGTTCGCAGCAATTTTTAAAGATTATTTTGTTGTTTGTTTAGATTAATTTTAAAATTGTTCACAAACTGAATAAAGGAATTTGTTTTTGCAGTTTTATCAAAGCAATAAATTAATTTAATAATTATAAAATAAATAAAACTGAAAATATGAAAAGAATTTGACAACAATTAATCTTTATAAATTGTTAATAAATATAATTTTTTTAAAGAATGTTTGTTTTTTTTTAAACTTTTTTGCGTATTATTTTTAAGAATTTTGTAAGAAATTTATTATTGTGTTGTTTGAATAGTTTTTTTCTTGAAATGAGAAAAATTCAGTATTAAAAAAACTGAACTAAAATTTGAGCAAGTTAGATTATCCATCCATCTAGTCCATTAGAAAACTTTTAGGTTAGCATTTGTTTCTTGCTAGCTTAACGATTATAGCTACTTTCAAAACAATTGTTAGAAAAGATAGCTTATTTTGCTTATCTGCCATTCAGTCATTATTCATTCATTCATTCATTCACTCAATCATTTATTCATTCATTCCCTCATTCATTTATTCATTTATATGTTTATTTATTTATTCATTAATCTATTCATTCATTTATTCATTCTCCCAGTCATTCAATCATTGCTTCTCTAGAACACTATATTGTTTTTGCTAATTAATTTTAACAGCAATAATCTCAAGATTTAATCGTGATTATTATTAATATTAATAGCAAAATTATTTCATTCCAAATTGAAAACTTTTCAGTCCGTTTTCATTTTGTATAGTAAATAATATTTTTGGAAATTTTAAAATAAAACTTCGCCTTCTTTTTTTTGTAATATTAACCTTGAGAAATAGTGTACACAAGAAATTGGATCTTTTGAATCACAATCACATTTTAATTACATACAAGTTTTTAATTATATTTTAATTTTTCATCTTCCTTAACAAAACATTATTTTTCTTGGATAATTAATTAATTTCCTGATTAATTATCCAAGAAAAACATCCATACTAATTGATGCCTAAACTAATAATGAGATCAAGATAATTAACTACTTAAAGATATGCAAATAAGTCCGACAAAAAACAATCTTTGCAAGATTATCGTTTGCGACTTTCATTTCATTTGTGTAATATAAATTGTTTAAATTTGTTTAAAGAAAATTAATGTTTTTAATGAAAGGAATTTTTGAACAAAACAATTTCAATAAGAGTTGTGTAAGAACTTGAATATGAAATATTTATTATTAATTTATCGATATATATTGACCCTTGACCTCGAACACATCATTTTCCATTGCACAATGAAAACTGTTCTTTTCTATAACTCTAAAATTTTTTGAGCTAATCAAAAATTATTTTTGAGCCTGATATCCCAACTAAATGATTATGCATACTTTGTATCACTAATTATTTCAATTTTATACATCACTTTTACTGTAGTTTTGAGTTTTACCACACTTTGGTCATTCTATTTTAATTCAACTTATTATTCGTTTCATTTTTTCATTGTCTACAAAGTTTATTAGTAACTTTTTTAATTATAAAACTTGAAAGTCAAGAAAGTTTACAATGGCTTTCGTTTTTGAGTACTCTTTTTTATACTTAAATATTTGCATTCATAAAATAAAATACTTTTATTTTTAATTAGTATCAGTAAGAATAAGTTAAGTTAATAATATTAACTATTATTAACTAATTAACTAGTATTTACTAGCTAATAATATTAATTATTAATATTTATCAAATTATATTTACTAATTAAAAGTTTTAAACTGAATCACAAGTCTTTTCTGTGCATTTTGATATGGTACAGAAAAAGAGAAAGTAAAGAAAATATCAAAAAAATTATTTTTGTAAAATTTAATTATGCATTCATTTACAACTTATTATTCTCGCAATTATAAGCTGAAAACTAAAATACTTTTCACGTAAATTATGAATTTCGATAATTATTTCGCGTGAAATTTCAAGCGTTATTTTTTTGGCATCTATGAATTATTAATCAAAAGTGATTATTAATATTAAAAATTTGTATATTTTTGTAGGAAATTTGGTAATTTTTTAATAAATGGCAAATTTTATCAAGAAAATAGTAGATCGAGCACGATCTCGCTCCAGTTCACCTACCAAATATCAAAACAATGATTCCAAGCGTTGGAAGCAATTAAAATTCCAGCCATTACCTCCAGGAGTTCATAGCTATCCAATTTATGCTGTGCAACCGAAGCAATCTCACGTAAAACTATATTTTTTTAGAATGATAACAAACGTAATTCTCTCATTATGATACCAAATCACACGTGATGTCATAGTTCAACGTAATGAATCGCGTAACTTTTTTGTCATAAGGACTTTTGCTTACGAAAAAGAAATTGATTGTAAAAGGTCAATTGTAATTCCAAAAAAGTTTGAACTTCCTGCGATAAAAGTAATCATCACGCAGGGAAAATTTGGATAAATAGTTTTTATTATCGTTTTGAAAATTGAAATAATTTTTTTTAAGAAAAAAATTCACTTTTTGGTAGAAAATTTTTTCAACAACTTCCAAGTATACTTGAAAATATTACGAATTTTTACAAAGTTAAATATAGTGTAAAATAATATGCAAATTTTATTTAATGCTCAAAACTGCAAGGTTGAAACCAATTACAATTCCAATATTAATAAATAATAATAATAAAATTTGTTGATAAATAATTTTCAAAAATTAAAATTACAAGCAATGATGATGATTTTATGATCTGCAGACAAATCATACTTCATGTTGTTCAAAGTACCAAAACAACGAATGTTGTAATGTTCCCATAAATAATACAACATTACCTCCAACAGCAAATACTTCTCAACAATTTTTATATTTGAAACCATTGACAAGAGTTGGAAGTGGTGGGAATTGCAGTGAGGTGAACTTTTGACCTTGACAAACTTATTGGATATCTATGCTCTCAAATAAGTTAGAATATACATATTTAAGCAACTAAAATGGCATTTATCAGATTGAAATAATTCTGACTCAGTGATTGAATAATAAAATATTTACATAATAATGTTATTATTCATATTAGTCATAATAATTTCTTCTTTTAAATAAGACTTTTGAAAGGGAATTTTAATTATTCAAATGAAATTTTGTACTATATGATGATTAATGACTAATTAATCAGAATGATGGATGATAAATTACATTCATTTCAGTTAAGTAAATTGTGAAAATTTTTATGAAGATAAAAATAATATTAATTAACTTTAAATTTCATAAATATTCAGTATTTCTGATCATTCTCACAACTTTTAATTAATAAATGAAAGTAAAGATTTTTCAAAAATATATATCATTTTGAAAAATTAAAATTTCACTGCCACAAATACATTTCATATTTTTTAATAATTCAAAATAATATTCATATTTTTATAAAATAAAATGAGTAAAATGGATAATATAACTTTATTATTTGTTGTATATTTTTAATTTTGGTAGTATAATTCGACAACGCAAGATGGCCAACAGTGGAATAATATTTACTCTACTGAATTTACTCCGAATTCAACGATTTCACGACAATCAGATGCCTTACGCCACAGTAAAGAGCCATTAACTTCATCTCCTTCGAGTCAAACATATGTAAAATTATTTATTTTTATAAAAATGCTGAAAAAATTTTTCAAGTAATTTTTTGAAAATTTTTTAATTTAATAATTTAATTTTTTTCAATTTAATTCAATAAAAAATAAACAGATGCGAATTTATGAACGAAGTAAAGTTAAATTCATTTATTTATCTGGTATTTTTATTGATTTCTATTTTTTATCTGGTATTTTTATTGATGTCTGCAAGATTTTCAGTTTAAAGTTAAAACTTTTCAATAAAAGTGAAAAAATAAATAAAATGACTAATTTTAAGAAATATTTTTTAGTGAAAAATAAATTTGACTTTATGAAAATTTTAAATTGACTTAAATAAGTTTTTATTATTTAAGTAATGAACTTCTTTCAAGGTTGATTCAGTAGACATACAGGTAGAAGTGTTAGATTCTGTATCCAGTCATGATCATCAATTAAGTAAGCACAGTCTTAAAAAAATTCATCTCAACCGTCCACGTTCAGCACGTTCAAATAGTCCACTGAAAAAAACTTCTACATCGCCTGATGTAACTTCGAAAAAAAGTCGCTCTAAGTAAAATTTTGCTATTTTCCAATACTTTTTCATTTAAAAAATTTTTATTTCAAATTGAATCCTTCTAATTTGTAATATTGTTTTTGTTATGGATTAAATTTAACTGATGTGATCTAAATCATTTTCAGGTCACCAACAAAAAAAACGCTTCAGATTACGAACACGTTAGATTACTTGTCAGTGCAATGTGCAAGTGAAGGATGCTCAGCTGCATTAATTGTTGAAGTAATTTTTGTAACTTTCCCTCCAACTATTTTCTGAAAATTAGAATAAAATAATTAAATTCAAAGTTAAAAAAAGTTTAACTTAAAAAATATTTTTAGCATTTATTACTAATAAAGTTATTACTGTACTTCTTTTTCATGTCTTATACTTACATTTAAAGTAGTTTTTTTACAACGTTTTTTTTAAACTCAAAAAACTTTTATAGAATTTAGTATTGAGATAAATTAATTAAAGGATACAAAATTTCTCGTTTGTAAGCATCAACTTTCACATGCTAGCGATTATTTCCGTACATTGTTTTTAACAAATAAATCAATGCCACTATCTGGGAGCTACCAGAACTCCTGCAATGAGTTTGCTATTATTGTTTCTACGTACACGCACCCTCCACCTGCTTTACAATTCAAATGGTTCCTCGAAAGTACCATTCAATCTCCTCTTCTCAATGATATTACTGGTAATTTGTAATCAAATGTTCTGTATTAAAATTAAAGCACAATTTCAAAAAAGCTCTTGAAGTTTAAAAAAAAGAAAAATTAAAATTTATTAATTTTGATTTCTTTCAAAACATAATTTAATTGAAATTAATAATTACATGTAATTATATATAAAAACTGTAAGTTAATTATTTATGCTAATACAATAATTACAAAAATTAAAATTATTAATTTTAAATTTAGTACATATAATTAACTTTACACTCACTTATATTTAAAATTCCTTAGCTGATATAAACTGTCAGCTTGATTTTTATCATGCATATATAGTTTTTAGCATCCATGAACATTTCTTTAAATATATTATTCTTTTGTTTTAATTATATCATTCTCTTATTTTGAATATATTACTAAATAATTTCTGATATTATCCACGTTAATTTCACGTATTTTGATTGCATTATGCAATTTTGTGCTTATTTCTGTCACAGTCTAATTTATTTTATTGTGTTTTATACTTATTTTTGATCATGCAGTTTTTTGAAATGTTTGTTTATAATAAATTTTATTCTATTCTTATTAATTGTTTTTTTCATTTTTTCTTATAAGAGATATTCTCATGAAAAATATAAAATCTTTTAAAAAAATGTTTGAAGTTCTCGTTGTGAGAAATGTATTTCTAGTTAGTATTCATTAAATTTAGAATCATATATGGATGTTTTATTTATGCAAAAAATACATAAATAACTATAATTTTTAATATTTTTTAAATCTAAAGTTAAAAAGTGATTCAATAATATTTTAATATATATTAATACTCGTCTGAAATATACAATGCTAAGATCAATGAGGTTAATGAACGATGTTATGTAAATTAATAATTGATAATATTAAAAGTGATAATGATATTAATGTGTGATTATAGATGAAACATTGGAGACGTGTATGAGGTTGTCAAAACGATTCCGCGCTATGGGATTAGAAGCACGATGTAGCAGATATATTCAGGATAACGTGAGCTATTCCTTTCATTTTTCTATTTTTATTACATAAAAAAAGCTAAAAAAATAAATCTTTCAATTACTTATCATTTTAAAAAATTTTTAATTGTGCTTTAAAACAAATTATATTCGAATTTTTAGTTCAATTTTTCAAGCAGTTTTTTACTTGTCAAATATTTGGTATTTATCATTGCTATTATTGAAATTGTTGATATAAGTTTATAAATTGTATTTTTTTAGTTTTTATTTTTATAAAAAAGATTTTTTTCCAAAATTTGGCACTTTATAATTGAAAGCTAAAAAACAAAATTAATTAAAAAGAAAATTTAGATCATCGAATGACCTGAATGATTTTATTGCTATTATTGTCATTATTCAATAATTGTTATTATTATTAATAGCAATATGATTGAATTACCAAATAACCATTGTTTTTATATGCTCTTTTTTTTCTACCAATGATTAATATAGCCATAATAATTATAATAATAACAAGATAATCACCGGGATATTTCAAACACATCGGATATTCTGCTCATATTTTAAATCGAGCAAAATTTCTTGATCTCACAATATATCAAGCTTCTCTCTAAATATATCTAAATGACCAGTAGTGACATGTACTACATAGCATTCTATGATAGTAATAGAAATAAAAATTACGATTACCATTTGTTTATTTTTGCATGCTATCTTTTCATAATCTTTTCCATGGTTATTAATGTACTATCATATTATAGCGGCAGTAATAATTATCGCTTAATGCATAATGATGATATTGTGTAAAGTAGCTGTGTTAAAGATGTGAGTTTGTTTCTTGAGGTAGCAAAAAAAACGCCACTAGTGGCTCTTTGTTGGCTGAATTGGATTCTGAAGCACAAATTCGACCGTAATACGTATGATGCTTGTTTGCCGAATGTCGCTACGGCGTCATTACAATGCCTTGAGCGACATCGCAACATGATCAGTGAGCGATTACTAGCTGATCTTTTAGCCGCAAAGCTAAGGACAATCTATGATCAAGTTCGATTTATGATTAACAGAAATAATGTATTTAATCAGTTACTACTAGTACGCATATTGAATATTCATGTTTATTTAAATTACCAAACTATGCAAATTGCTGTTCTATGCAATTTCTACTTATTATAGTAGTTAAACATGAAAACATACCTCATCAATTACTTGAAAAATTTATAAAACATTTACTTTTTAATTTATCAAATTGAAATTTTCAAATTGAAGTTAGGTAATTTGAATAATCAGATGATTATGATTAGCTTAATATACTGAATACTGGTTGGTCAGCTTGATAATACTACAAATACATTTGAGCAATGAAAAATAAAAATAATCTGTTCATTTTAAATCAGTCTCTTGGATAGTACCATTTAAATGATATTGAGTTAAATATTCAATATATATGCAAAATACTTTTGTAGGCAGTAACGGTGTTCCAAACAATTCACAATATGGATCATTTCCACGTGGATGTTGATCGATGTCCACGCTGTGGACGTCAACAAGAACAAGGAAAAGTCCGTGTGCAAGCAAGTCCATGCAAGTAAACAATTTCGCTTTATATAAAAACTAGCACATTTTAAGTTCTCTAAACAACCAAAAAAAATACTGCATAATTTTCATATATAATTATTCACGTACGCAAATTAAGGAAACGTAGCAAAAAAATAAAATGATTTTTGTAATTTTATTTATGATTGCTTCGTTTAGGAAATTACTGGGATGTGAAAGATGCATGAAACACATGACTTGCGAGCTAAATGGTAAGAATCGAGAAGCCTTGCAAGCTTGCTATCAATGTCCTCATGGCTTGATACCTTTAAACGATCACACACCTGACTGCCAATGTCAGATTCCGATATTAGCATCACACTTGAAGGAATGTAACTTTTCTTTTCTTCCCGATCAGTGTTGATCAGTTTATGCGATCGAGCACTCAATCATTCCTTTCCTCTCTTCATCCATCTATTATCCCTTCAACTCCTTCCTAATCTTCTTTGCGTCTTTTCTAGTAGTTACTTCTGATACTCTCTCTAACGTGATCCTTTTTGATTCAACGTCCAAATCTAGCGTTCATTTCTATAATTTTAGCTTCTTAAATTTGCTTATTCAACAAATTTTAATTTTATCACTTTCTATAAAAATTCTTCCATTTAT